TGATTTGAGTGTTTTTAATATTTTTATCTGTGTGCATGATTTGAGTGATTTTTATATTTTTATTTGTGTGCATGATTTAAGTGTTTTTTATGGTTTTTATCTGTGTGCATGATTTGAGTGTTTTTTTCATATTTTTATGTGTGTGCATGACTTGAGTTCCGCTCACACACAGCTGGACCAGATGAATTTGGCAGTAAGAGGAGAGTCGTGTTGGCGTCCGCTCCGCTGCAGAAGTCTCCGTGGCAGCGAGGAATAATGCAGAAAAGACCGGAGCAGCCTGTGTGGCTCATGAATAAATCACTGCACATTCAAAGACTAACAATCATATTTTGTCTGTGCCAGAAGGTAGAAAAGTGATTTATTTTAAAATCATTTATATTTTCTCTCCATTTTTTTATTGCAAACATGTAATTATTGCACACCCCTAAAACAGAGCAGAACAACGGATGCTGTCCTCGTGACTTTATTGATGCTGTTTGCATGTGCATGTATCCATCACAGTTCAGGCCGTAGAAGCAGCACATTACTCCCTTCCTCGCTCCAGTGGAGATTTCAATCTGCTATAATGGAACAGAGTTTCTGCTTCAGTCGAGTTAACTGACACAAGGTTGCCACATTTTACAGCAATTCACAACGGGCTTTGTCACCAACTCCTCTGCCTCGTGCTCGCAGGTTTAGAGCTGATAAATAATAACAGATCGGACCAAACACGTTTTTTCTGTTTATACTCCAGACAGAACGTGGATGTTGGGCTCAGTTCATCAGGATGTAACGCAGGAGCAGAGCCACACAGTTAGAGCTTTGGATTTACTATTATTTCAATTTAATTAACCCAGATGAGGTCTAAGTGTAAAACACCGGAGCAAGGGTGATGTTAGCCAAAATACAAAATATCTACATTTGATGCATTTACCCTAAACTTGCTAGTATTTTTACATTACTATATTTTGTACTCCTGTCTAGTACGTTATACATCTGACCTTAGTGGCTAAACCAGCAGCTGGAGAGCAGAAGCCAGTGTACGTCTTGTGCTGGTCTATAGCCCGGGTCAGTGGTGAGGGTTGTGCTGGAAAGGGATCCGGCTTAAAACATTTGCCAAAACAACATTTAGCTCGGTAACATTTCTGATTTGACTCAATTATTCAAATGCACTTTGGAGTGCGAGAACATGTCTGAAGAAAGTAAGAGAAGTGTGCTGGTGCCTAATTTTTAAGATCAAGGGCGATGTACAACTACGGGGGAATCAAGTTGATGAGTCAAATAATGAAGATCTGGGAGAGAGTTGTGGAAGCAAGACAAGAGCAGCAGTAAGGTTTCATGAGAAAGAGCACCACAGACGCCATCTTTACTTTGAGGATGCTGATGGAGAAGAACAGAGAGGGTCAGAAAGAACTCCATTGTGTCTTTGTGGATTTAGAAGAAGTATCCGACAGCAGGACGTGCTAGACTGGTACAGGACATGTATGAGGATAGCAGGACATGGTAGACTGGTACAGGACATGTATGAAGACAGCAGGACGTGCTAGACTGGTACAGGACATGTATGAGGACAGCAGGACATGTTAGACTGGTACAGGACATGTATGAGGACAGCAGGACGTGCTAGACTGGTACAGGACATGTATGAGGACAGCAGGACTTGCTAGACTGGTACAGGACATGTATGAGGACAGCAGGACGTGCTAGACTGGTACAGGACATGTATGAGGACAGCAGGATGTGCTAGACCGGTACAGGACATGTATGAGGACAGCAGGACGTGCTAGACTGGTACAGGACATGTATGAGGACAGCAGGACTTGCTAGACTGGTACAGAACATGTATGAGGACAGCAGGATGTGCTAGACTGGTACAGGACATGTATGAGGACAGCAAGACATGCTAGACTGGTACAGGACATGTATGAGGACAGCAGGATGTGCTAGACTAGTACAGGACATGTATGAGGACAGCAGGACATGCTAGACTGGTACAGGACATGGATGAAGACAGCAGGACAGTGGTGAGATGCGTTGTAGGAGTGACAGCTTCAAGGTGGAGGTGGGAGTGCATCAAGGATCGGCTCTGAGCCCCTTCTTGTTTGCGCTGGTGATGGACCGACTAACAGTGGACTATGATGTTTGCAGATGACATTGTGATCTGAGGTGAGAACAGGAAATGGATGGAAGAGAACCTGGAGAGGTGGAGGTATGCACTTGAAAGAAGAGGAATGAAAGTCAGTCGTAGTAAGACAGAGTCCATGTGTGTGAGTGAGAGGGAGGAGGTGGAACAGTGAGGCTACAAGGAGCAGAGGTCACAAAGGAGCAGTACTTCAAGGACTTGGGTCCACTGTCCAGGAACATGGGGTGTATGGTGAAGTGGTGGAGAGTCCAGGCAGGATGGAGTGGAGGAACTTCACTTCCTCATCAGTGGACTGCATAAAAGCTTCAGTGATCCAGCGCCACGCCTTTTCCCCTGGGCTTTATTGTGGTGTGGCTGACTCTGGGTTTAACTCTGTGCACAAAGTATTTTAGCAACTCTGAGTTGATGTTTGTGATCTTCTGTGAACAGCTCTATTTAAGAACGTTTGCTTTGATGGGAAGTTTGGTAGGGGTTCTCCGCAATTTGGTTTTAATGAACTTTTTTCTTTTGTGGCCAGCCAGGGAGCTGAGGAATTATAGTTTTTATTTTGGCAGTTGTGGTTTGGTTCTCTCGCCAGAAGGGGCGCTTTTTTTGTTGTTTTGGCCTTGGAGACCCTGAAAATCATGTCTTCCCTTCCATCTGTAACACCCAGAACTAATAGATTAATAACTTACTGTAATGCCTAATTGTGTTTTTGAGTCATTAGCTTTGTTTTTAGTTTATAATTTGTGTTACACCCTGTGGACTAACAGGAACAGATAACATGGACTATGAATAGTCTTAAAAAGAACTACACTGCCACCAAGGGAGCTTTTGTTAAATTACACAAAACTGAGTTTGTCCCCTTCTATGGACTATTATTGTAACATTTTAAATACAGAAGTGAAGACAGAATGACTCGACAGCACACGAGTTAAAAGAGAACGTTATATATTTATTATCGAACCAGCTTTTGAAATCCAAAAGGTGGGGCAAGGGATTAAAAAAATCATTGCACTACTTAATAAAGTATTACCATAATAAGTAACTCTCATACAAAATGTACAAATGTTTGTTAAAAATTTCCATTATCATCATAACAAGCCTTCAAATGATTTTGGTTACAGATATAATACATAATGAAACTACTATGTCACCGTTTGAACAATTAAAGTTTCATAAAGTGAAGGAAAAATGTACAAACCACCCAGTAATCTGAATAAAAAACCATCAGCAAAATGAAAGCACTAAATATACTGGTTTCACCATTTTCTCTGAACACATAAATAATGGGACTGAGGTAATTACTAGTGTACCAAGAACAAGAAATAAAGCAAAAAAAGAGAAAAATAAAGAATCCTACAACACAACATGGATGCATACAATCACAAATATGACCTCTAAAAAAATACAAATTCTATTGATTCCATACATGATTTTGTACACACAAGAGGAAAAATGCTGTTTTCATTTTAAACATGGATGCAATGTTTGCGTTTGCATTTGCTGGAAGAGAAAAATCAAGTTTGGACCACCGTGTTGGTGCAGACGCTCTGAAGTGGACAACGAGTTGGACCTGGAGAGGACACGGCGTTTAAAAGGCACCGCAGATCCAAGCCGCTTTAAGAGCCCGTTGGGTTCTTTTTGTGTTTTTACAGCTGTTCCTCAAGTTTCTGCTGTAATTATCCCATGTTGCGTTGTCAAGAATAAAATGGGAGTTGTTACAGCAATAAAATGATTAGTAGTTTGAAATAAAACATAACTTTTGGTGAATTACTCAACCTTTATTTAACCTTTTGGAGGACCTTTAACCTTTTATTTATTTAATTATGACATGCACGTAATAACTTTAAACTGTTTCAATAAGAACGTTCCAACAAAACGACAAATGAAGTGTGCAGAATTTGCCCTGGACATTTTGCAGAAATTTTAAATCCAGCTTCCCTGGACTTGTTCAAAATGTGTGGCAGTTTGATGTGAAAACTTTTACCATATTTTTCAGACTATAAGGAGCACTTAAAATGTTTGAATTTTCTCAAAAAATCAACAGTGAGCCGTATAATCCAGTGCAACTTATGGATCAATTCTGGTTGTGCTTACGGACCTCGAATCGACTTTATGTGGTACAAATGAACAATGCTGAGCGTTACTGTGAATGAGTTGAATAAAGTTTGATTTATCCGTTTTGTTTCAACTAATGCGCCTTATAATCCCAAAAATACGGTAACCAAATAGCCTCAAGCATCTCTGATGTTTCGTACGAGGAGAACTGTAGAAAAAAATGTGGCGAGGAACAATGTTGCAAAAAGTGAGTTTTCTGTGTTAGTGCGGAAATATGAGTTTGAAACTGGTTTGTTGAGGAGGAAGAGCGAGCCTGGGTCTTTAAATCATGTTAAAGTGCTGAAGATCTGCCAGTGAAACGTACTCCAGCTAGTTAAGACCTCCCACGTATCTAAGGGTTGTTCCCTGTAGGTGATGGAGAAAAGGTCGTTATCTGCACAACATGCACAGAAGACGAGACAAAAAAAAATAAAGACAATCACATTTTTAATAACTTACAACAAAACATGACTAAGTTGTTTGTGGGGTAATGATGAATCCATGAGGTCAACACTTAAAACTTCATTTATTGATTGACATGAATTTTTATAAAGAAAAAAAAAAAAAGACAAAACCCAATGTGTACTTGGCCCTTTTTGATTTAAAACTCATAAAATGTTGAACTTGAAAGAGTCTAAATCAATCTGCAGGAGGAGAAACCAGTTAAGGAAGTACATTTTAACAAGTCAACAACCAAACCCAAAAGATTTAACAAACTCGCTGAAACACACTTTCACACAAAAAGAACAACGTGTTAGTTTTTCCATCCCACGCCGTGAACAGTATGTTGGTTTCACCTCATACAGACCGCTTCGACTCTGGTGAGTTCAAGAAAAATACGAAATTACAATGTTTTTTATGAGTTTAATAAAATAAAAAAAAGTATCTCGATTACATCATTATCTTTGGAATGCCAATTTCTTTTTAGATTTTCTTCTGCAGGTCTCGTAAATTAGAAAAAGGTTTACAACAACATGAAAAACGGGGACGTCCAACAAACAATGTGAAGAGTTGTTTCAAAGGCGATTCATGGCAACCATCAGTAGGCGGCAGAACAAGAGTAAAAAAATACACCGGGCCTAAAAAGTCCAGCCACACAGGAAGCAGGAGCAGAAAGTCGACATACCTAAATGCTTTGTCCTGGTGAGTTACAGCTCGGTGTCAGTGGAATGAAAAACAAGAGATTTATCTGGAGTGGTCCCAGTCATGTGACAGATTAAGAGTTTACTGATTGATTGGTGCATCCGAAGGGAGTCAGGGATTGTGTTAATAAAGGTCACTCTGAGTCCCGCTGGACCTCAGAGGCATCAGCTCGACAGATCGGGCAGGTCCGGTTAGCCTGGAACAAAATGAGAACATTAGACCGGCTGACACTTTATGACCAACACGTTTATTTACAAGTTACAAACAAATACAATAAAACAGACACACTGTTGTCACAGGATCAAAGCAACAAGGAGATGCCAGTAACAGCCTGAATGTTCATGAAGCATCCACTCTATTGTGATCCACTGTTCTTCTTTTTCGGCGAGATTCTCGTCCGGCAATTTTCATTTTCATCTATTTCAACAAATCATGAATCAAAACGTTCGGCTCTTTCAGGACAATCCTGCTATGACGTCTGGTATTGGTGCAACTTTAGCTTTTTGAAATATTTAGCCTTTTCTGCCGTTTTTTTGTCTCATAGGAAATGAATTAATTCAAATATTTACATCTCTTTACAACCTTTTACTGCTCCTTTCATATTTTGTTCTGCTTCAGCTTCTTTCAGCTTCCTTCTGCAAATTTAACTTTTTTTTCAGCTACTTTCAGCTGTTTTGTGCTCCGTTCAGATCATTTCTGACAACTACAACATTTTTGTGTTTCTTCTAACTTCTTTCAGCTACTTTCAGTTCATTTATGCAAGTTTCAGTTTTTTCTGCTAATTCAGCTACTATTTAGCTGTTTTTATGCTAATTAAGCTTTTTCAGCTAATTCCACATTTTCTGCACTCATTTCAACACAATTCAACAAAAATGTGTTCTTCTCCACTTCCTTCTTGTAATTTCAGCTTTTTTATGCTTTTTCATTTATTTTTTGGCTTTTCTTAAACTAATTTAATTATTTTCAGATAATTTCCACTATTTTGAGCTCATTTCTGCTTCTTTCAGCCTAACTGGGCAAAATTGTGCTCTCTCCTCTTGCTTATGCTAATTTAAGCTTGTTCTAACTTTTCAGCTAGCTGTTTAGCATTTTTTTTTGGCAAAGTTCAGCTGTTTTCTGATAAATTCCAAGTTTTTCGTGGTAGTTTCTGCTACTTCCAACCCAATTAATTTATTTCTGCTAATTTCAACTTGTTATGCTCCCTTCAGCTTTTTTCAGCTACTATTTAGCCGTTTTGTGCTAAATTGAGCTTTTTCAGCCAATTTCACTTTTTTTAGCTCATTTAATCTTCTTCCACTTCCTTCTGGTAGTTTAAGCTTTTTTCTGTCTTTTCAGCTAATTTTCAGCTATTTTTTAATTTTATTTCAGTTTTTGTAGCTAATGTCCTAATTTTTGTGCTCATTTCTGCTTATTTAAACCAAATTCAAATATGTGGACTTTGTTTTCTTCTGCTAATTTGGGCTTCTTCCATTTTAGCTAATTTCAGCTGTTTCTCAGTAACTTCTTCAGCAATAAGCATTCACACTGCATTTTCACAGGAAATGCAATTTCTCTAGTTATGCATGAATTTGTTCCGTTTTTGTTGTCGTTCTAATCAAAGCATGTCGTCACTCACCTTCAGCCACTTGTCTACACACTTGGCATGGAACTCGTGATTACAGGGCAGAACCCTGAGGAGCTGGCGAGACTCAAAGTCGCACATACACACCACACAGCTGCAGCACAAAAAGATGACGGCGTTAAAAACAGTCTTCAACTTGGCATTGAAATCGATCCCAAACCAAAGAGCTGGCGATGAACAGAGTTACTCACAGTGTTTGCTCCGACTGATGGTTGTTGGGGTTGAACCTGTACGATGGAAGCTGCTCGATGTCGGCCTTGGTTAGACCGCGGGGCTTGGCCTCTCCTAGGCGCTCAGCGAGGTTCAACAGGGCCTGAACGTTTCACGTAAGAAGTTACAGATCATTCTGTGGTTCTCACACTGAAAGAACCTTCATCATTTCCACCGCTGGCAGAAACTCGGGCAGACGATGGTCTTACCTCATAGTTCTCCACCTCTCCATCATCCACATCCAGTTCTAGACTGATGGCAGGAGCCACATTTGGGGGCACAGGAAGCATAGACCTAGAAAAAAAGATGAAAAAAGAAACGGAACATTTAGTATGCTACTCTGATGGAGTATTAATTCTTTAATTTCTTGCACAGTCACGTGAGTAGATCCAACCTAAATGTTAAAAGTGAGAAACACCTACAGGAAGTAAGGCAGGAAGCTGGGGTGGTAGGGAGAGGGGGGCACAGCTTGTTGCGAGCGGTAACGTCGGCTCGTGAAGCGACGAGGCATGAAGTGGGGATATGGCTGTAAAGACAAAACATCAAGGAGAAAATAATTTGATTATAACTAACAAATCATCAAGAGCAAAACAAATCTACACTAGAAAAATTGCATTTCTTGCAAAAGTGCAGTGTGAATGATTATTGCTGAAGAACTTGCTGAAAAACAGCTGAAATTAGCTAAAAAAAATTTAAAACGTGCTCAAATGTAGCTGAAATGGAAGAACAAGCCTAAGTTAACAGAAGAAAGCAGAAAGAACTTGCTGAATTAGTTTTAAATAAGCAGAAAAAATGGGAAATTTGCAACAACAAAAAAAAGCTGAAAAGTAGCTGAAAAGGCAAAAATAAGTTTAAACAACCAGAAGGAAGCAGAAAGAGCTGAAATGAGCTAATAAAATGTGGAATTAGCTGAAAAAGCTAAAACTAGCATCAAAAGAGCTAAATAGTAGCTGAAAGAGCAGAAAAAGCTGAAAGTTGAGGAAAAAGGTGAAAGTTATGAAAATTATCTGAAAAAAGCTGAAATTGGCAACAAAAAAAAAAGCTGCAAAGTAGCTAAAAAGCAGAAAGAAGTATAAATTAGCAGAAATAAGTTAGAAGCACAAACATGTTGTAGTTGGAATGAATCTGAAAGGAGCACAAAACAGCTGAAATTAGCTGAAAGTAGCTGATTTTTTTTTTTTAATTTGCACAAAGAAGCTGAAGGAAGCTGAAGCATAACAAAATGTGAAAGGAGCAGTAAAAGGTTGTAAACACATCTAAGGATTTAAAGGATGAAAAATGAGCTCAATTCATTTCTATTAGGAATAAATGGCAGAAAAGATAGTCAGATTGTCCTGAACGAGCCGAACGTTTTGATTCATGATTTGTTGAAATAGCACAAAAATTGTGGAACGAGAAATTTGCTGAAAAACGCACAGAGCGTAAATGGATCACAACAGAGCTGAAGCTTCATCAACGTTCACACCATTATAATACTGAATAATATATAATTGTACCCACCACTGTAAAGAGCTCTTGTGACAGGGGGTCATGGTGTGACAGGAACTGGAGCGGAGTAGAGGGTGGCAGCGTGGAGGGAGGCTGGTGGTGATGGTGGTGGTGATGGTGATGAGCGTAGCTGAAGCTTCCACCAACAGGAAGCTGTTCTCCCACAATATCAACCTCGTTTTCAATCCTCTGTAAGGGCTGAGATTAAAAAACAAGACAAGAGAACAACAGGCGTTAAATTAAAAAAGCTGCATGAAAAATTTAATGTCCTCATTTTAGCAGCTTTACATTTTGCACTAAACTTCGTCTGTGATCATATCGACACTTTCCTTTTGGACATAAAGAACAGCAGTTCTAATATTTACAACCGTTAGGGGCTCATTTTACTTTGCTCTTATTAGAAGCTCAAAATGAAGCAAGTGGAGATGTAGAAAATAAAGTTCACGAGCACAAACGGGTCTCGTACCGATCGGGCTTGTTGAGTCTGGAAAGGCAGGAACTGTGCATGCGCTGGGAGGTGGGGCGTGTGGTGAGACAGATGAGGCGGAGGAGATATCAGGAACTGAGGGTCGCTGGACAGCAGAGACGGGAAGGCGTAGGGAACTGGCAAATGGTGCATGGAACATGCCTGTAACATCTGAAAAAGGACACAGAAAGGAAAATAAGCTAAATAAAAATAAAGATCTGAAGAGGTTGAGTCAGGTTCGTTGGACGGATTCTTCTTTGTTGAAACGTTTTGTCTTTTATCAAAAAAACTGAAGAAGTCTTCTGGAACAGAGGCGAAACGTTTCATCACAGAAGAATCCGTCCAGAGGACCTGACTCAGCCTTGTTGGATTCATCTGCGCATGCATCAGGACATTTTAGATTTTTCCCTTTGCAGGAACTCCCGGTGCAACCACAAGGTGGCAGCACAGACTCGGTCAACAAACGCCTCTGACCTGGAGGATGTTGTTGCATACTTTAACCCACTTCCTGCACAACCCATTCTTTAGCAGGACCACGAGAACAACAGCGCAGAGCGCAAACAACCAAAGTCGTTCCAACAAACTGCAGAGTGGGGGCGCGTCTCACCGGATGATAGTGTTGTCCAGTGCTGAAGACCACGTTGCAGGCGGGGACTTGAGGCTGTGAGGAGCAGGAAGGGGGAAGATGCTGACCGCTACACAAAGGCGGTGGGAGGCCGTGTGGAGGGACTGGAGTCACCGTGTAGGACACTGGGACGCTGCTCTGCTGCAGCTGAGGACAATAAACAATAAACACCGTTAATAAAAGCTTTACGCACGTCCAGCGTCTTCAAAGATCTGTTCAAACTAACCCGCTCGTGCAAGTCCATGACCATGGCTCCTTGCTGCTGTTGCGCCGCATGGTGCTGTTGCTGGTGAGGATGATGATGATGCGGGTGGTGGTGAGCAGCTGGGTGCAGTAGTTGAGGCGACAACGCTGGGGGGTGAAAGGCTCGGAGCTCCTCTGAACCGCCACCGCCGACTGCAGGAGGCTGACCGTAACCGCTTGGAGTGTGTGACGGGTATGTCTGATGCGAGGCGAGGTGAGAGCTGCGGTGGAAGTTTTCATCCTGAAGTTCAGACGGCGACAAGCGAGCTGTGGGGCCTTGAGCGGGGGTGTGGTGCTGCGGAGGCAGGTGACGGGCGGGTCTGGAGAGACGGCCACGCTGACGCCTCGCTGGCGGGCTGTAAACGGGAAGAGACGCTTTCATTTCCAGAAATCTGAGAAACGTCTTCACGGAGGAGCTGCAGAAACCAAACTGAAGGCCTAGAACTCCTTGAACTGCAAGTTTCCCGCCAGAGTTTTAAACTAAAATTATCCACGAAAACACGGAAAGCAGTTATGGCGGCTCATTAAATGACGGTAAGCAGGATCTCATAAGGTTTTGTCAGATGTGTTAGCACTCAGCGAATGTGTTGAGGATGACTCTGCTACTACCACTCTAGATTTTATCTCTATGTCTATAACACTCGACAGAGTTATAGACATTTGTGTGTTGTCTAAAGCTTATTGGGTTTTAGATGTACAGTCAATGACTACTTTCTGAGTTGCATTAAAATCTGTTCATGAGATATTTTGTTAACAGTTCATTCCAGTAGTAGTTTAAAAACAGATCTTGCACAGTTGACGCTCGAAGTTTGTGTTGTGAATAGACCTGTCACGATAACAAATGTTGCTGGGCGATTAATCGTCTCAGAAATTATTGCGATAAACGATAATATTGTTTGAAATTTGACAATAATTAGTAATTACTGTCAAATTTAAGAAGAAATGTTGGTGAGTTGGTGTGTAGTACCTTTTTTGACCACTGGATGGCAGTATAAGACAGTTTGAACTGAAGGATGGATAGTGAGGGAGCGAGCGGCGTGTCTCTAAGAAAAATGGGAGGGAGGCCCCCTTGATGTGACATGAGCTGTCTCTCTTTGGTTCTCAAAATGGCGGACGCTCGGTGTGGTTCGAGCTCTTTAGCGTAGCGTTTTTCACACCAAGCTTTTAATTTTTAAAAAATCAGTAAACAAGTTCTCGGCTTCCTTTTGCAAAATAAACAACAACTTTTTACACAAAGGCACGAGTTTCAACCGTGAATTTTGGAGCTTCGATATAAACGGAGGTCGGCCTGTTAGCTTAGCTCGTAGCTTAGCTTCTCAGCTTAGCTGCTTGTAACGATCCAAACATGTGATTTTGGACATTAAAACAGATTTTAAAGAGAAAAAACAAAGGGAGGGGTCAGTGAAATCACCGGAGTTGAGTCTTTTGTCATCCAGTGTCTTCAGTGGAAAGAGAGAGACACGAAGAAACGATAAAGCCGATAAATGAAAACGAGGTTGATAATTTTCATTTATCATGCGATTAATTGATTTATCGCGACAGGCCTAGCTGTGGGTGATGCTCAGCTACTCTCACACTAAATGTAAGCTGAATGTGAAAGGGTGGTGGTGGGCGAGAGAAGACAGCTCTTTACCTTCGTCTGAGCCGCGCAGGAGTGAGGCACCTCTCTTGGTGGTAGTGTGAGTGAGGGTGAGGCTGTCTGCGACTCGGGGGTCCTGACTCCCAGGGGCGGATGGGAGGAGAAGGGGTGGATGGTGGGGGTGCAGATGAGGTCAGCTGTTCTAAGACGGACTGACTGGACAGCCTCTGGCGCTTTGGACTGGGGCTTTCCTCGCTCTGCAAAGGGAGAGGAAACAGAAAGGACAGAAGAAGGTAGAAGAGAGAGGTTGCGTTTACTGACCCGCAGCAGACCCATGTCCTCATCCTCAGTGAGTCCAGCTTACAGCCCAGACTGTTCCACACAAACCATTTCTCCCCATCTGTACCGGTGTGTTTGCACGTTCATGCGAGTCTGTGTGAGGGAACTAAAGCGCACCACCAGCGCTCAGAGGCCCCGAGGGTTCAAAGTCACTTCCTCTCGGAGTGAGGAAATACAAACAGAAGGCAAGCACGCACAAGCACATGTGCAAATTTTAAGTGCACACCCACGAACGGATGTTAGACAAGTACTTTCTCGTGGACTCATAAGAAAAAAACCATCGATAACGAACAGAAAAGCAGGGCTACCGATAGACACGCAGTTTGAACTGATCGATGACTTGTAGCGTTCCGAAGTGTTCGACTCGTCCGTGAGTCACTTCACTTACAGTCAAGCTGTGACTCTCGTGCTTGGCACTTACTGAGGCAAGAACACACACAGACATGCCCATGTGTCAGTTATTAGTCATTCTGCATTACGAGGAGCTTCGCTGGGCTCAGAGGAGCACACAGACGCCCCACACACACGTACTTCCTGATTTCTTCATCTTAACTTTCCCCTCTTTTGCCTAATTGGGCCCTGCTCCCACCAGCCGTCTTTGCGGGACAGTCACGTTAAAGTGTGATAAAATGACTCAGCGTCTGCGACTTTTTTTTTTTTTTTTAAAGCCCAAATTCAAACGCTCGCGTCTACGGCTTGGCAGCCTCGAGAGCGGTGTGATAGCTAACAGGAAACAGCTGGAGAGCAGACTGCAGAAACACACGCCGTTATGGAGACGCCTGCAGACATGTGCAAATTCACACATGAGCAGCTGCCACCGTTTCTACAGCTCGAGAAGAATGAGATCTTCAAAAGAGCTGCAGCAAAAACGTGCTCCTAAAACACGATTTTAGGGACTAAAACCCTCCATCGCTGAATATGACAAGAGCTCGACTGCGTTCTTGGATTATAACAAGTTTCTTAGTCGAGTCTAAAGGAGGAGCTGGAGAAAAAAAAACGAACGTAGAAAACAACAAATATAACGTACGAGGTAAAAAAAAAATTAAAGTAAAGCAAACTGGTCCAAAGTGGGGAAGCAAAATCAGCTTTATTTCATTCCTACTATGTTCTTGGACGTTTTATATCAACGCAATAAATTAAAACACCTCCTGTGGATTTAAATTTAAATGAGGAAAACAAAGATATTCAAATAGCACGTGCAGCAAAGTACTGTTATGCACCAGTGTAACAATTCCGACCACCTTTCTTCAGCTTTTTGAAAAAATTCCTTACGTTAAAAAGTTAAATCTTAAAGTAGAAACCAGATGAATTTAGAAGACGTGCTCTCTGTTCTTCTTGACAATAGATTCTTCTCGTCGACCCAACACCCCACAACCTCTTCACCAGCGCTGCACCAACCCCAAAACCCTTGGGACATAAACTGTGCCCATTTTCATATCCGAGCCAGCCTCTCCTCCCTCCACCTCCCACCTCCTCAAACATCTCTTCCCATCCCCCTTTCTCCTTCCATCAGATAAACTAAACCCATCTCTAAGCCCCCCCTTAGTCTCCTCCCTCTCCCTTTTTGCCGTCCGTCTGACCTGTCCAAGACCCCGGCTTGAAATCTGACGGGACAAGGGCGGAAGAAGAAGGACACTTTGGTCTTCACAGAGACAGACTATTGTCCATTAGTATAAAAGTTTGATGGACCTGTCTGTCCCTGTTAGTGGGAGGGGGGCATCGTCAGACAAAGGAGTGTGTGAATCCTCGAGCGATATGCTAGAATTTGGCGTTATGTTTCCACCGAGTGTTGCACAGAACACAAAGACAACAAAGACTAAACATAACTTCGAGGAACACCCCGGTGGTTTCACAATGTAAACCAAAAGTTTTCACATCACAATTTGCTTTCATTTAATAAACAAAATGCAAATACTATTGATTTTGCTTCCTAAATGATTACACATATTGCTTAATCCTTATTAATGCTCAATAATCCCGGTAAAAAAAATCCAAGTCCTCTGGACGGTTTATTTTTGTTCATCAGTCCGAGGAGCCACAACAAACTCATGAATCAGGATGTTTTGAACCACTTTGGCCACGACTGCCTCAAACGAGTCGACGGAGGACTCCAGAAACCATCTGAGCACCACCGACCTGGTTGACCCACTATGTGCAGGTGCTATTTATAAGACCTGACTTAACTTTGTTGCATATTACTTAATTATTAGTACTTATTAATAATTTTTATTTAAGTCCATCCATCATCTTTACCCGCTTCTTCCTTAACATATTACAAATTAAAATATTATTGTTGGTGTACAGAATCTAAGACAGTGAACAAGTCGACAGTCTGAGCTTCTTCCTTTTACTCAGGACAGATCAGCTCGTGCTTTCGTAAGACTTCTCCAAGAACATTTCAACAACGCTAAAAAAAAACGAGTTAAAAAATAAATAAACATGGCAGCAACTGCAAAAACCCCCCAACGCTCGCAGAAAACCTGGGCTGCTCTGAATGCTCGCCACACGTCTGCATGCATCTGATCAATCCACTCTCTCTCACTGTCCTTGCGTTCAGCGTGCACAAACCAGGCTGGACAGACGTTCGGACACACCCGTCCACATTCTACTTCACCAGCTCGACATTTGGTGCTTCACACACTGAAACTCAGGCCAACAGCTGCTGATGTTTTGCTTAGAACCAAATTAAAGAAAGCCCTACAGAAGTTTGGAAGTGCACACCTTAGAAATCCAACTGAAGCCACGCTTCCGCTTTCAAGCACTATCGTTTTTTTTTCGAGTGGGAACACTGAGCAATTATGGTCTTTTGATGTTCGAGTTCTAATAATATGTACAGAAAAGCTTTCACCAACATACAAGAGCTTCTCCCTCCCACTTTTAGTTTCTTTCCGTCAACATGATTTCAAAGCTCAATTTGCCTCCTCAGCCACTGTTCCTCCCTTCATTCCCCTCCTTTTGCTTCACTCCCTCCAACCAAGCTCCACAGCTGGAGGTTGAAATCATTAGCAATACCCCCCTCCCCTCCCCATTCTTGGCCTCGGTCCCCTCCCGTCCCCATCTCTCTTCAAGCTTTCTGTAACACCTCGGCATCCTGCCTCTCCTCTCTTCTACTCGACTGTTTTTCATTTAATCTGCTTACTTTTACACAAACCTCCACATGCGGTGATAAAATCCTTCACTGAATCAAACAAGTGCAGGGTTTTGTTTTGTTTTTTTGCTTTAATTATAATGCATTAAACAAATAATCAATGTGCACATGATTGTTTTGTGCAAGTGCCATACTCTAAACTAACTGACCCAAAGTATTGAATGGCTTTTCTATGATGCAACTTCTATCTTTACACTATTACAGTACTTTTGTTGTGGATACCCTAAAAATATAAAATCTGCACTTAACTGGTCTAGATGGGTTAAACTGGCTGAATTGTATTATAGATGCTTGTTTAATAGACTACTTCACATTTAACTGTGATAAACAGTGCAAATGGCAAACTAATCTCTGATCATAAAGAAGACCAAGGCAGAATACAAAACTTCAGTCAATTTCACAATTTTTGGGTCTCTCTTTAATTTTTTTGTTGCTATAAAAAGGAAGATCGCAGTGTTGTCACGATCACGTGACCGATTCAAAACCTGCTGGTTGGTAGAAAAGACGACGTGCGTCATTTAGCTTTGCATGTGAACGCATGACGCCATCGTTTCTTCACAAATCTGAACGAAAATAGTTCAAACCTGTGATGAGGTTGGATGTGCAAGTAGGTTGCAAAAGTGACGTAGAATTTCCTGGCACTGTATATGAAGTATAAAACACCCAGATAAACAAAATGTTTGACTTTCGGCAATCAACAGAAAGGTCTGGGTTCCAAAGAACGAGGGTGTCTGTGGTGTTCATTTCCTATCAGGTAAATTTGTTTCTTCATTTGGGAGCAGATGAAAGATTCTGTGACCCGTCTTCTGTTTGCATGTACAACTCGTGTTATTTTTGATACATACTGATATGAATCTAACGAGGTTGAGTCAGGTCCTCTGGACGGATTCTTCTATGTTGAAATGTTTCGTCTTTTATCCAAAGGACTTCTTCAGTCGGAGGAGCTGCATAAGCCTCAGTCTTATAAATAGCAGCATCTCATGGTGGATCAACCAGTTTGCTGGTGACATCCAGAACTAGTTGTTCACATGCAAAGAGAGGACCATCAGCCAAATGACCATTAGTGCCCTGATGGCTGTTTGCTATTCACAGGGGGCTGAGTGATACTAGCAATAACAGCATTGTAAGAGGGGGACAGTTGGACAAGGGTTTAACGATGGACAGTTTCTCTTCACAAAGATGGCCTCCTTCACTCCTCTCTCAAACCATCGTTCCTCTCTATCCAGGATGTGAACATCTTCATCCCTGAAAGAGTGACCTCCGACCTGCAGATGAGTGTAGACCGCAGAGTCCTGGCCTGACAATGTTGCTCTTCTGTGCTAGTCCATCCTTTTGGCCAGTGGCTGTTTAGTTTCCCCGATGTAAGACTGATCACCCTCCTGACACTGAACAACATACGCAATATTACTCTGTTTGTGCCGGGGGACTGAATGTGTTCATTCAACTGTCCCCCTTTTACAATGCTCTTCACTAGTATCACTCAGCCCTCTGTGAATAGCAAGTGGCCATCAGGGCACCAATGCTCCATTGTTAGGCTGATGGTCCTCCTTTGCATGTGAACAACTAGATTTGGCTGCCATCAGCAAACTGCATGATCCACTATGAGAGGGTGCTGCTTATAAGACTGAAGGGTCCAACATGCTCCATCCGAAGCCAAACAGTCGACTTGCCGTCACGTGGTTGCGGTACGCTTGTTTTCTCACACACTCTTCATAGTCCACAAGACACGGGGTAGAGCTCCTGGGAAACCCCTCCCACGGCAGTATACATCACCGTACAGGTTCCTTACCACCAGAGTCTCCATTTGTCCCTGCATCTGCCGTTTGGACACAAGGTGCCACACTTTTCAGCAGACGGACTCCTCCATACACGATGACTGCACATCTCCATCCAGGAGTTTTGGGCCATTTGACTAGCTTGGTGCATTTTGTTAAGTCATGCAGCTGAACGTCTGAGCACATATCTGCATTGACAAACACGCCCAGAAACTTCTGAACAATCACGCATACGCCTTTGAGAAAAAGTTAATCCCGGTCCTTGTGTCGAGAAGGGTGGGGCGAAGCTGCTCTGCGAACAAAATGATGCAACTTTCGTCACACAACTGCGACAATGAGAGACAATTTTGGCACTTTAGTTTGTTGTAGCATCTCAGACTGAAGAAGTCTTTTTGATAAAAGATGAAATGTTTCAACAAAGAAGAATTCATCCAGAGGACATGACTCAACCTGGTTAGATTCATCTGCATGCATCAGGACACACCAATACGAACTAATGCTGAAAATTTAAAAAAAAAAAAATTTTATGTGATGCATCAAAGTATGCAACATAAAACATTAATTTTGGAAAATGGTACTGACCTTATCGCTCTCCTCTCCATATGCATGGTCAGGGTGGCAGTGATACGCTCCACCTGAGGCTCCTGCACAAACAAAAAAAATAAACAAAGGCATTAACATTTTATTTTAGTTATAATATACTCCAAGCAAAAATATTTTTTATAGATTTTTTTTCATTTTTATAAATGGTTTGAAACAGATTGTTACAATTACGAATCTCGTGGAGGTTTGAACATAAATAAGAAGAATGGTAGACGGTATCAAACGTTTGTAGAAACAGAACCTTTACCCAGCCGTTGTATGATACGGTTTACCTCTTTACAGTTCATTTAATCTTTTTTTTTTTCTGATGCACCCTGGATTTAGTGCACAATAACAAAAAACAATGACAACATGTTTGTGAGAAAGGCTGCTGACCGTGCACACAGCACGAACATGACTTAAACACATATGGTATTGTCTTTCTCAGTGCATGTTAATGCATACACAAACAAAACAAACAGTAATCCTGGATTAGAGGTGCTCTCAGATGATATTGCCGCTTGCATCACAGTTAAGACTTTCACTCGTTTTGTTTTTTCCACAGTCTTTTTTATATTTTTATCGTCGTTCCTTTTTTCCCCATACCATTTGTTTTTCTATTGTCGTAGGCAAGTTTTCTTTGTTGTTGTTGGGGACGTCCTCATCACAGATGGTGGCACCAGTATACACTCCAAGGGTAAGCACTCCCGAGGGTGCTCCAAACAAGACGAGCTTTACAATAGAGATGACGAAAGGTAACCTAGAAGGGAATTGATGCAAGGCAGTCTTTTACTGGAGCAGTTTTACCCATCGGATGTTTGTTTGTGGGATGTTTTACTGCTCCTGGTCTCCGTCTTTGAAGAAAAGCTATGACTGACAGCAAAGTAAGGAGATAGAAGAAGAGGTAGACACAAAAAGGCATTTACTGTCATAGTCGAACCCCCAAAGTAATATAATCAAATTGAAATGGTTGGGGTAAGTAAATGTTAAATTACTGTAGCGAAAAACTAAAAGGCTGTTTCCACTGACATGGTTTTGGACAGAATAGCGAAGCGTTCATGCGACTCACCGGCGGCACAGCGCTCCTCTGTGCACTACTCATTCACTGATCACAATAGGCAAAAGCCCAGCTACCTCCTTGAATATGGTCTCACTCACACAATGTCAGAATCTTGTAAATTGAGTCAGAGTCGAGTCATTCAGTTCGACTCACTCTGTAGAGGACAACGCAGAAGCTACAGAGCAGCATGCTTCAATGACATAATGCTCACTGCTGGACTAACAGACCCCACACATTTCAGTTCTGCAGTTTGGGCCTCAAGCACAAGTGAATAATGAGACTGCAGTATGAATTAGAATATGTGGGGGGAAAGGCTATCATTCTCTGGATTAAAAAAAAAAAAAAAAGGGCTTATACGTTAGATTTTCTTTCCAGTTAATGACATTTGAAGAACAGCAGCACAGATTTCATCATATTCCACAGATTAAACACTAATTTTTGATTAATCACGCTTATCTAGCTTAGACAAGATCAAGGTTAAAATGTGTAAATATTCATCTTTGTATGGACTCGACTCCGGTTTCCTCCCAAAGACCAAACACATGCATGTTAGGCTGATTGGTAACTCTAAATTGTTCCTAGGTGTGAGTGAGAGAGTGAATGGTTGTTTGTCTCCATGTGTCCCTGTGATGGACTGGAGACCCATCCAGGGTGTCCCCCGCCCCTCGCACAGTGATTGCTGGACATGGGCACCGGCGACCCCCGTGACCCAAAATGGAAAAAGCAGGTAAAGATAATGGATGGATGGTCTTAGTGTAGTTGAGGGATTAATGATAAATTAAGAACTGGCCCTTGACAAAAACAAACAAAAAAAAAAAAACTGGACAAGAAGCAGAATAAGACGGTGTAAACAATCTGAACACAAATGTAATGTGATCATGGCATCTTTGCACACTGCCATGCTTTGGAAATCTTAAAAGTTGCAAAGTTGGTATAAAAAAAGTGAAAACGACAAATAGAGATTTAATTATGTGTTTGTTTGTTTTTAACCTAAAGCTGAAAATAGAGATCCTACAGAAAATCAAAGAGAAAAATCAGTTGATTATTTATTTTGTTTTGCATGAAGTGAATGCTGATGGAACAAAGATTAAAAGGCAAATGACTAAGAAGCATTACTTTCCATCCGTTACCTGCTTCACAAAGTATTTTTAATGGAAGGCTGTGTATCTTTTGTGCCACAACTGACAGTAGTTGCTTATGAAAAGTACAAAAATAAGCACATCTGAATGCCTGGCTCAACTTTGAACATGAAAGCAAAACATTAAGGCATAAAAATAACCCAAAAAAATAGCATATTCCTTTTAAAATTACCACTTTTGTTTTGAGAAACCAACTAAAAAGTGACAAAGTATGACTTTGATAAAAGCAAGTGTGGGTGACAGGAAGAGGGCAAAGACGGGGTAAAAACCATGGATGGAAATGTACATGAAAGTGTGAGAGCACCGAGGAGGAAAGTGTGACAGGAAAAGACGTGGAGAGAAGGAAAAACCAGGGAAAAGGACCGAGGGAAGAGAGCGGTGGAGGGTGAGAGAACATCCAGAGAGGGGTGGGGGTTGTGGCTTCTGCTCTTGACTGCTATTGATTTTCTGTAAGCCTCAGAGTGCATCAGCTATTTCTATCCATTTCCTTCACCTCTCCCTCCCTTTCTCATCCCTCCCCCTCGGACTTGCGAAGACACCCTCCTTCCACATCCTCCTCCTCCTCACACTCTCCATCACTTCATCACATCCCTCCCTGCCACCGATCTATTTTCCTATCTGCTGGTCTGCCTCTCTCCTGTACTCCTGCTGCTTTATCACACAACATCCACATTTCCCGTCTTTGTCCTATCGCCCCATCTCTGCGTTAAACTACACTTTCCTTCACTCTTGGAGAGAACGCAGGTGAGGGTGTGAACAGGATGGCTGGCTGGATGGTTGGGATGAGAAAAGAGCCTAGTTGATAAGCGAGACGCTCGATGGAAAGCATCATACTGGCTCTGCTGCAGCACTTGTGCCACCTGTGTTGCATGGAACTGAACATATGCGAAACACGAACCCACGCATGCGGTACGTACATGCTCTTCCAACCTCACCCCCACCTCAGCACACTTCACACCCCAGTGCAAAGCCGTCAACTAACAAGGTGACATAAAGCAGGTATGGAAATGAGGCTTGCCCAGCTGCATCACGTGTTCATGACGACGAGATGTGTGCACACGCATGTGGCTGTCCTCTTACATGTAAACTTACTGTGTGTGTGCACCAGTTGCAGTTTTAAAAAATGGGAACATAAAATAGAAAAATTAGGATACAAATGAATTAACAACCTTATGTGCTGCCCCTTATGTTCATATTTACACTAAAGCACTTTATGCTGTACAGCGTTCATGTTGTATATTTGATGCCTTAATTGGCCCTTGAAGTAAAAGAAAACTAAAATTTATTGCTCAAAATACTTTGGACAAATGAAAACGTTACTCTGTGATCACTTCTTTTTTTTATTGGACCTTTATTTATACAGGTTAGTTCCCATCGAGCCTCGAAGACTCATTTACAAGAGAGACCTGTTCTTCTACCCTGCAAGCAGTAAAATCATGATTTTGTGATAACTAAAGTGCTACGGATCGAAAATAAAAATGAGAAACCTGTACTATATTATAAAAATGTTCCTGTCAAGAGTCCAGCAGATAAACGCAAATGAGTAGCTTAAGGATAATACCTGCAAGTGCTCAATCCAATCCCAGTGGAGTGTCACTACTAATAACAACGCCACAGCAGATGGGACTAAAACTTCATGACAACATTCCCACAGGTAGACTTTTCAATGAGATTTTTCCTCTGAACTCCTGAACTGATGTGCATCCGAGCACCACCGCTTTGACTCCTCTCAACATCTTGTCAGAGCTGACAGCGTAAGTATTTTTAAAGTAATGCCCCACAGTCGGTCTGCATACGTTTCTGACAGTCTGGTTCCTGCTCCCAGCCCACCCAGGCAGCAGGTCAGCAAGAAGAGGACATGTTCAATCCAACAGGGAAGTTCATGAAGACACACATGGATATAACCACTGCTTGGCACCACGTGAGCTTTCTCACTCCTCACTCTGTTTTCACAGTCTTTCGACAAAAAAAACAGCTGAGACTGAGTTTTGGAAGGGAAATGGGGGGATAATGAGCAGAAAGAGAGACAGATGACACTTGTAATTTTCTTCTCTAGTCCTAAATCTAGATTCCATCGCCAAAATATGAGCTCTCAACTAATTTAAGCTACATTGTTAAAGTTTAATTCAAAATAGGTTTTTGGAATATATTAAACTGCTCTCTATAGAACAACCAATGCACAGTTTATGCCAGGGCAATCCAGCTGAATTGCTCAAGGGGCCACAGTGACTGAAAGCCAAGAGCTCAGGGGCCGGACATCTAGCAGTTATTGTCATTACGCAAGTTTGTTTTACGGTTTAAAATCTAGTTTTATTTAAAGATGAACCCATTGGTGGGCCGAACTGAGCTCGCCGTGGGCCTGATTATCATTTTTCAGTCAGGTCATCAGGACAGTTTCTTTATTTGTGCTGAAACGTTTCGCCTTCGATCCGGAATACTTCATCAGTCAAGGAAGCACACAACAAAACTGATTCTTCCCCCAAAAGCTTACTCCAAAGTGGAACAAACCAGTTTTGTTGGTGCTAAGATGGTCTCTTTGGTACGCCCCCTCCTCCATTGCCGGCCATCTTCCTTGTTGATAGTCGTGTCAAACTGGTTGAAAACAACAAAGTCCACGCTCAATAATCCAGGTATACAATCCAACATTTTTCAGTCAGGTCGGTTTCTTTTTTTGTGTGCTGAAACTTTGCTGTAACTGTGCTGGACTGTGTTGTTTTCAACCAGTTTGACACGACTAACAACAAGGAAGAGGGCCTGCAATGGAGGAGGGGGCGTACCAAAGAGACCATCTTATCACAAGCAGAACTGGTTTGTTCCACTTTGGAGTAAGCTGTTGGAGGAAGAATCTGTTTTGTTGTGCGTT